TGATAATTTATAGGCTAAAGCGGCTGTTTCTCGAATCATTTTTTTATTATTTTTCTGATACATTTGGTCAAAGGTGTTATGCGTCACTTTTCTGCAAGTCAGTGTCGAAGCTCCTCAACCCCTTCTTGTACAATACCACAGACCTGGGATCGAAGAAATGTTAAATGTTGTTTTGGCATCATGTTGAAGACTTTTCCCCGAGGAACTGAGCTGGAGTGAAACAAATGATCATCCGATGGCACGAGATCAGGGTTATGAGGTGGAAGCGAACGAACTCCCCGCTTGAGAGTCTCCAAGTTTCACGAACTGGTTCCCATTTCCATACAACCTCGGGTCCGAAGAGGCCCGCGTGACTTACAACTCCTCTTGTCAACTGTATTCTGTTGTGTTCTGCAGATAATGAGTTATTCCTCAGACTGTATTGGCTGTGCACAGGAAGACTGAATCTGCGAGCTATTTCTACAGTACTGCAGCGAATTTAGGTTGGACTGAGTGGAGTGAAGTGAAGAGGGCTCAATACAAAGGAGGAGATGCGTTCGTTATCGGAATAAGAAGGTCTAGCTGCGAGAAGCACCTATATCTACCTTTGCTCTTCCCAAACATAAGCTTTTTGAAAAACCAACATGTCAGATAGTGAGTGGAACGTGGCACTATGCTATTTAAGATATGGGTTACGCGTTTGCAATACCGCACCATGAGATTCATTCCGAGATGTGGTTGGTCGACGAGTGTTCTGATCACTGGATACATTTCAGCAAAATGATTCACTGCTCGTTTGTGTATATGAATGAAAAATGACAAGGTACGTGAAAATTCATTTGTGATAAGAACTGTCTTGATAAGGCTACAAATATAAGCACCATTCTGGTAGGTTCATGCATTCTGTTAGTTTTTTTCATAGAAGTTAGCTGTATAGCACCATTGTTCAAGGTATGCTTCAGATTGATATAGGAATGTCACGGAAGTGTGCAGCCGTTTAGATAGGCCTCCCTTTGACGAACACCTTACTCAAACGCTCTTTTCAGATGTTCATAGAAATTGAAGAAACAGTCTGTTTTATTGCTTCGTTCCTGTACGGAAAGATTCCAAGGAGGTAAACGTTTATGGCTACGCAGATTGGCTGAGCATACAACACATGTTGATGCGGGTTCGATAGGTGTGGAATGTTTCAGTAGAGTTGATTCATTCGCTGAAGCCGTGGCGAATGGTCTCGTCGATCGAATCTACACGCGATCTGAACCACTGAAATCGTATTCGCTGGTGGTAAATGTCGACGAAAACAAAGACAACTTGATCGAGGAGGTTAGACATCATACCATAAAAGTACTGTGTAAATAGTAAATAGTGTATAATGAATGCCCCGGAAGTGGTAGTTGCTTGGCCAGCGCAACAGCGCGTGCTAATCAATAGGTGCATGAAAACGGGTTTGAATGCGTATCGATTGACGCGGTGCTTCGAGTGAGCAGCAGGGGATGACCGACCATAGGGAATGATCAAGTAATTATTAGTTCCTCGCCATAGTGTGATGATTGCTCCACTTCTGATAAAGATAAAGACATCGCTCTGGAAGAGCGAGCCAAACCCATGTTGATGGGCAGGAACTTCAATCATGAACGCTCAAAAGAGATGTTTTCAAGGCTTCTGTCAACCAAAGGGTGAGAGCGTAGCTGGAAAAGCACACACTTTGTGTCTTATTGGGACTAAGCCTTTTGAAGAAGATAAAGAAAGAGGAGATGCTGTGATAGTGTGCACTTGTGAGAGCTCCCAGACATCACTACAAAACGCTGAACCGCCAAGGCTCACGGTTGACAGATGTCCTGAGACCCAATAGGGATAGCTGCATCCAGCTGACCTGTCAGATGAAAAATTTGAAACTATTCTGAGGCTATTTTTCATCGCGGATAAAAAGGATAGATTCGCAGTGCTCAGCCTAATGGATAGCTCAAACGTGAACGGTACGTCGTGTAATAGCGGTACAGTCTTTTTCATGTATTCAGGCCGCATCCTGTGTGCTTTCATTTCACCTCAAGAGCTAAGCGAACTTCTGCCAGCAAACTTATTGCTTCGAACTTCGCGAAGGATCCGTACATGCTGTGAATGCTGACACTGGGAACGTGAAGTGCATCTATCCGGCACCTGGCTGTTGTAGCGGTCTGTTGAATAGGACTACTTTGTGGCAAATCAGTATTCTGTAAATTGGCTTCGCCCGTTTTCAATAATAGAGCTGTAGGTTTACCATCGTCAGGACCTACGCCTCAAATTTTTACTACAGAAGGAAATCGCCGCAATGGCCGTCGTCATGCAGGCCGAGCAACAGACTCTCGTCGTCGCCCATGTTTTCGCGTTGAATTCGCATATCCGAAAGGAAGCGAGCGTGATGAGAGAGCAGTTGCGAAACCAAACTTCGAGGTAAACTGAGCTATCCTGCATGAAGCTGTTGAGTCTCATCATAGCGTTGCAGGTAGAACGCAGTGAGCAGATCTACTCCGCACAGGCATTTGCAGCCACCCGATTTGGATCGACAAAGCTGAAGACATATCAAGTGAGCACGCCTCGCTTCAATGGTTTGTAAGTTTACCACAGAAGTACTCGAAATTTCAGTCGTCGCAGTGTGGAGATAACGGCTACGGACATCATCCGTTCACAATGCCGTCCGTGTATGCTTATTTGAGGCAAGCTTCTGAATCGTATACTAGTATAGTTATGCTCCGATACTTATATGCACATAGCATTGAGGCCAGTCTGATTCCAGACTGCTCATATTTTTGAATGCGATTGCTTGCGCGACAATGATACACGGAAGTGAGGACGACACTAACACTCAAAAAACGGGAGAGTTTTCAGATGATGAAAAGGTATGAAATTCAGCAGCAAAGTTGCAAGATGGGACAATAGCTCCTTCGTGAAACAAAATCCTGAGTGTTGTATGACTCCAAATAGCATTCATGCTATGAAATCACAAAGAAGCAAGGACATTTGCTCTATCACCGACTTGGCTCCGAGGGTAACTCATTAGGAGAGATCTCGTGTTAACTAGAAGCGGTTTACAGCTCTAATACTCCCACCCACTCGGCATGTTTACTGGTTTCAATTGAGCGCTACCGTAATCCACAGTGCCCTTTTCCGAGGAGCTGTCACAGTAGCGAGCTTTGCTGCAATCGCTATGCACAGGCATCGTGTTTTTTGTTATACTGCGGCTAAGATGGTAAAGGCTAGCCAGACTAAAATCCGGACATAGACGGCGTGTTCAGCTAACGTAGGAGCAAATAGTGATAGCTGAGATTAAGTTCTGAACTGTACTCATACGATTACGGTAGCTTTCAAGTGAAACTGGCGAATCATTTTTGGATCTCGCACACGCAAATCTTTGCAGAAACGACTGCTGGAAGATGCTCAAGGTGATCGGTCAAGTAGCGGATTCGTAGATGATGATGAACTTAGCGACCGTTAGTTACCATCGAAACTTTGTCCTCATACGAAAATGAAAGTGCGATCAGCTATCAAAAAAGACCAGTGATAATAATTGAAGGGAACCGTGGTCGCATGAGTTCAGCATAAGTGTGAAGGCGATGACACACGTATGTAGGCTAACGACCCCAAACCACTAAAAAACGCTAGTGCTTGCAAGATAAACTCAAAGCATTACTCAAATGTCGTCTCATTCTCACCTCGGTGGGCCTTCGAGTTGCGTCTTCTGTGGCACTTTTTTGCACTCAACAGCATTAATGGTCGAAACGTGGAGTGGGGAACACTGCCTAGGTTTCACGAAATTCGCAATTATCTCAACGCCAGATAGCGCTTTTGTAATACCGCTTGATATCAAAAACTCACCCTCGTACGATACGTTTAGAAACTCTGACCATTTCCATCCCACCATAAACGAACGACCATGCCTTTCGACTCACTTGCGCCAGTTCACATTGTTGGGATAAGCGCTAAACACACGCCGTTTGATTTCGTATAAATCAAGGTAGAGGTCGTGCGGCGCAGCATCCCGATCGGTTCCTGAAAATTGTCACTGAGTCAGGTTGCTAAATTGATCTCATAACATTGCAGAATCATATGAGCTTAGACGATGATGCTCACGCTCATTGGTGATTTGTTTCAGCTGTCAACGAAAAATCGGACACGTCCTGTTGAAAGAAGAAAATGAAGAGCGCTGTTTGACAGATCGAAATCGGTTAAATAAAAACTTAAGAGAGTTCGTTACTCAGTTGTTGTTGGAAAACATGTGAACTCAAAGGCACAAGGCATGCCCCAGGATCACACTGGTGTGGGCTCTTGCACTCGAACATGAATATATTGGTGCGAAGTGGGCCGACAGTAAAGAGAAAAGGAAAGGGAGCTGTTGAAAACGCCTTGGTTGAGGGCTCACTCACCTTCGCAATTGGCTGTGCTA